GTTAAAAATCTCTGACAGTTGTCAAAACGCCTGATTCTGCTGACCATTCATTTCCTTGCCTATCCCATGTATAATCTATGAGAAAAGGAAGGGAGTGCTAGGAAAAAATAATGTCAGAAAAAAAAACTGGTTCTGAATAATTTTCTCCTGGATAACTTTAATACATCAGTATAATTTTGGCTGGAGGCTGAGGTCAGAAAACGTGTTTTTGCAATAAGTTTCTTCAATGTATTTGCATCCCCATGTTATTTTTTTACAGAAGTTTTGTAAGGTAATATAAAAATGCTGTGTCATCAAGGCCACATAATGATAAATATTTCAAAGTGAATTCCAGTTAGTAGACATAAAGTCCTATTTGTTTCTGTTAAAGGAGCAGTGAGGAAAAATAAAGATATCTTAGTGAACTATTTTTGATATAAGTTTGATTTCCCACCCCATTTGCCTTTGAAAATAAATTAAAAACAATAAAATTCACATACTTTTATTTCATATAGTTGCTATAGAAAAAGAAATCTTTGCAACAGATAAAGGTGATAGCAAATAAATGCTGAATATTCTTGCACAATACAATTTTATATATACCCTGTTACATGACCAAAGGGGTAGCACTGTCACTGCTGTCCCCCAAACCATTCCACTCTGCTCTGGTAAGGAAATTGCTGCCATTGCTGCACACTTTGAAATTTTGCTACTTTTCCACCACCCCACCAGCAAAATGGATGTCACATTCCTTGCTCATTTGTTATTAGTCTTTCAACTCTAATTTCCTTGCAGGTGCTTTTGATTAGCAGAAGTCACAAATCTATATCTAGCAGCAAAAGGGTGTAGGGAATGTTTTTAGAAGGGTTTTCTCTTTTTTTTAAATTCAATTCTACATTGAAGAGGTAGGATTCACATTAGGGGGAACTAATGACATCTGAAGAGTATTAAAAAATAAATTTCTGCATCCATGAATGGCAGAGGTTCACCACAAGTAACTGGATTGGTCAAAATAAGAGATCTTAAAGAAAGAACAGTGCCGGGCACGGTGGCTTATGCCTGTAATCCCAGCACTTTGGGAAGCTGAGGTGGGCAGATCACCTGAGGTCGGGAGTTCAAGACCATCCTGACCAACATGGAAAAACTCCGTCTCTACTAAAAATGCAAAATTAGCCGGGCGTGTTGGCGCATGCCTGTAATCCCAGCTACTCAGGAGGCTGAGGCAGGAGAATGGCTTTAACCTGGGAGGTGGAGGTTACAGTGAGTCGAGATCGTATCATTGAACTCCAGTCTGGGCAACAAGAGCAAAACTCCGTCTCAGGGAAAAAAAAGAGAGAGAGAGAGAGAGAAAAAAAAACAGATGTAAAGGAATTTATGATGTCGTTCTGACAAGACTTGACTCCTGACTGTGTTGTTATGGCTGATGAGGGAGAAGGAAACAATCAAGATGACTTGGCAGTTTGTTTGTTATTCCGAGAATCAAGCAGAGAAGAAAGAATATACTCTGAGAATGAAAGAGGAAGACAACATTCAGAGTGGGACATAGTAGTTTTGAGGTACATGGGATTCAGTCAGTAGTTGGAAATTTGGATCACGAGTTCAGAAGAAACACCAAGGCAAGAAATACTTTTTTAAAACTTTAATTTTTAAACTTATTGTAGCACTTTTGATTAATCAAGTCTTAACAGGCAGGAATATTTGGGAATTTTACTTCTAACACCTTATTTTTATGGTATGTATCTTGAGCTAACCAAAATATTTCTCTACTAACTCTTACTATTTTACACAGCATATACCATCTCTTCTAATGCTTGGCTGTCATAGCTATTTCTAACTCATTGGTGAAGCAGATGACGTTATTTGGAAAGAATGGAGGTTTCAGTGTGAAGGTTGCCATGAAAATATGTCATAGGAAAAGAAAGGGAATTTTTTTGTTAAAGGAGATTTTATGGGTAAAGGCAGAAATCCTATGGAGATGATTGAGGAACTATACTAAATATTACTAGTTGTTTGTGATTATAACAAGGAGTCATATTAATATTACTAATATTATTCCAAGCTATCTGGCTCTCAAGCAAGAACAAACAAAGGACTTAACAAAATGATTGAGAGTCAAAGCCAAGAATCTTTTTAGAAGCAATGCAATAGAAAATTCATTCAGAGCCCTGACCAAATGTAGAGCTAAGCTTTCCAAAGCTTATCGTGAATATAACTCAGCTGGCGCAGGCTCTAATTTAGTGGGGCTGGGGTTGACCTGAGATTCTGTACGAAGCTCCCTGATGATAGTATCCAGTCCCAGGCCATACTTTGAGAAACAAGGTAGTAGAGTTTAAGAACATTCTATTAAACAACAACAAAAAATAAAATAAAATTACTCATCTAGTATTACTGCTTAGGAGAAATGGCAATAAAATCGAGGTGGAATAAAACATGTAACTAAGTATCTTGCATAAATCCTGAAGCAAATAGGACACTGAAGGATAACAAGATAAAGCTGTCTTTTATCACAGCTGGACAGTTTTAAATATATTAATTGAAATCTTGAAGGCCTCAGAATGTAACTTGTTTGGATGCTAATGTATAAGTTTTAATCTTAAAATATGCCTGTTATACCAAGACATATTTTATCTCAGCATTAGACTACAGAACATGTCATCAATAGGGTATACACTGAGTTTGAAGCATGTTAGCAATAATAATACTAATAGAAAGTGTGCTTTAAAAGGAGTAAATTAGTTCTTTAATAGGGTCGTGACTTCACATCTGTATCCTTAGAGCTAGTTAAGTTGCCAGCCCTACCCAGGCAAATTCCTAAAAATATCTTAAAGGAGAAAAGAAATATTCTCTGAGGGACCACAAAATAAAGTGCTTTTTGCAGCAAATTGCAGGACAAGGAATAGCTGCTTTCCCAGTAATAGCCAAAATTGAGGTGCCTTGTGACATATTTAGGCAACTTGCACTATAAACAATGGCCATAAGTAAGATAACAGACAGCTTTTCCTCTTGATCACCCCTGTGGTTGGAGCAATGATTTTCCAGGCCAATTCACCAATAGGATCTTACAAGACCTTGAAAAGGATTTGCAACCGGGTCTTTCAGTCTATTTGTCAGTAAGGAGAAGTTTTTAATGAGAAGCTTTATGACAGCTCACAGTCCTGAGTGCTAGTTAAAGCCAGATAAACATTTTACCAAACAAACGATGAGGCCCATAAATATTCAGACTTCTGCTGGGAACCCTGTTTGCCTTATCATTTGGAAGAAGGCTGGCCTGAATATTGCATGTGATGTATGCTTGAAACTTCCGTAAGTTGAAAATGTGTTTGGAGGTATACAAAGTGATTGCTGTACAAATGAATAAAGCATTTCTTATCACATGACAAGGTTTGACAAGAATCTTAGGCAGATACATGGCTACTGAAACAGTTCATGGCATAACGAAGTCCTAATTTAAAAAACCTTAACCTACATTTGTGGCGGTACATTTGGCTGTAATACGTACAGAACATTTTGCAGCATTTAACTGAGCATAAATAATTCTTCCACAGAGTGGAAATCATGCTGTGAACCCCAATGTTAAACTTCCTTGGGTGGAGTGTGGCTCTCAGAAGCCCTGGGATTTTCATACTAAATGATGAGAAGGTCAAGCTGGCAGTGGTCAGACTGAGATATTGTTAAAGGAAAGTAGAGGAAATGTATGAATGGATCTTTTAAGTCCATCTTTTTGGCCAGAGAATGCTTCTGTTATTTCCATTGAATCTTCTTGTCCAGGTTGAGCAAGGAGGGGCTGTTATTGTTTCACACACCGTTCAAGTCCTCAGAGACCTGGCTGGTGAGCAAGTGCCATTCACTCACTCAGTCATTTAGCACCATTAACTAAGCACCTGTTTTATGACAGACACTGTGCTGAGCTCAGAACCATTAAAAAATAAATACATAAGGTATTGCAAATGATACCAGTGAATGTAGGATTCAGGAAAGAAATAAAGTTTGATCATGATTGAAGTGTGTGCAGAATGTTATGGGAGAAGAGAGGAGCAAGTGACCAGTAGCCTGGGTCAGTCATAGGAGATGTTCCCCCAGAATGTATTATTTGATAAGAATCTTAGAGGACACATGCAAACTGCTGTAGAAGCCTAGCAGTGCAGGCCAAGACAGCAAGGGTAAGAGGTAAGATGGGCCAGAGAATGATGAGGAATACAGTGTGGTGGAAAGAGAGGCTTCATGTGTATGGGCTGGGGATCAGGCTAGAAAAGTAAATTGAAAGCTATGTGATCCTCATAGATGATGTGTGCTATGCTAACAAGGCCATCCCAGACCTACTTGTAGAAGACTCTTTTGAACAGGGATAATGCTGAAACAGTAGAAAGCACATGCTTTTGGGCGACCCTACGACTCATTCACTCTAACTGGTTTCTCAATAAGACAAGCGGGAATAGAAAAAATGTCTTGTCTGTCACTGAACTGTCCTATCTACCCTTACACTCCTCCAACACATTTAATGTAGAATAGCCATTGACTTAACAGTACCAGTGTCTTAAAAAGGACATTTCCACTATGAAATACTAACTCATCTCTAGGTTACACTTTGGGAAAGGAGGTCATTTAACACTGTTTCCCTTATATCCCCACTCAGAACAAAACATAAGGAGAAACTGGTCTGCTCATCTTCAAAGTAATATAGATAGATAGATATAGATAGATAGATAGATAGATATATATATATATAGTTTTTAAGGTAGAAAAAATTATTAGCTAATCTCAATATTTCAAATATAATTTTCTATTATGAAATATTTGGTGGGTAGAGATCAATGGTTTTCTTTCTTAAAGTATAGAAGGAGCTGAAATATGTTCGATTAATCAATTCATTTTTAAGTGTCATAGCTTAATAGTCTTTTGTGTTTAATTTTTTTGTCTTGTGTTGTTTTTGATTCCTTTAAATACATTTTGGAGCATGCAATACATCTGTGTAGGAAAGCTATATACCACGGGGGCCCTGCAAAGCGAAGACAAAGGACTATGGTTATGCCATTAATTTTTTCATACAAATAGTCTCATTTTTTCACATCATCTACACCACAACACATGGATTTTTATGATACACATATCTGTGAGTGGTAGACACCCCCAGCTGAAAGCTCCTCATTAGTTATGCAATTGGAATCAGAAGCTGATGAACACAAGTTCACTCTTTGTCATTGAAGCTGTAAGGTCCTTCTGAAGTGGCCTGGGAGCTTTCTCTAAACAATATTTCCATTGACTCAGCAGCTAGGATCTCCTTAAGTAGAAAAATAAAAGGAAAAAATATAGTAACCCATCTGTGTAAGAAATATATAATCTTAACAGGATCAATTCTATAATCAAGTGTACAAGTTTAATGACAAAATAATTAAGTGTCCTATTGTATATTCAGTCAGCAAAATCATTTGACCACAGGGTCCTCAAAATCTCAAATTTTCAACTCTCCCTCAATAATGCAATATATTTAAAAGCCACCTCGCTCTTTTAGGATTCTAAAGAAGCTACTGAAAACACCAAAAGCTACTGATAAACATGTTTCTGTAGTTTTAGGCACAAATGTCTAAAGGATTAAAATAAAGCATTATTGAGAATCCTAATTATGTACCTGCTTTGGTAAGAAATACTTCAATGTGACATATTTACTTTATATTCTCATTCAAAATGACACTATTATATTAATAGGTACTTAACCAATAATTGAAACCATTATTCACAGTTGAATAGGCATAGTATATAATTAGGATTCTTTTAAAGGGACTTCCATGGCTAAAACTAATTTGGCTTTAGTGTCTGTTAATATTATAACTTCAAAAATAATACTTCCAGTTACTAGTAACTGAATCAAAAATCAACCTGAAATTAAAAGTTTCATTAAGAGTACAAGGAAAAAAACCCTATGTTTATAATTAATAGATATTCTGTCATTGGGAAATCTATGTACATGCACATATCTCTTCAACATTTATATAGCAATGGAAAATGTCTTCTAAATATTATACCCCTAGCCCATAACTATATATCTCCATGTAGTAGTCCAAATATCATGCCAATTAGTCTAATCCTGTCCAAGCATTGGAAAGAGAAACCCAGCTCTAGTTTGCCCCATTTCCAAAATAAATAGCAAAATAAGTTGGCAATCAAAAATAATTATAAAGCAATTGGAAGTCATGACACAGTCCTGTTTTCTTTCATTGCACAATTATAGAATTTGGGAAATTGGTGTATATTATAACCATAATCTTGCCATAGATCTAAAATGTACTATTAGTTGTAGGGAAGAGACTGTACATGAATACTTTGTGTCATTTTTCTAGTTACTGCCTTTCAAATTCTTCCTTACTTTGTATAAATGGAGTTTATGGATATGTGTATGTATTAGTGCTAGGGTTTCTGAACCCTAGCATGAATCCTGGGTTTGCTGGGCAATTATTTGTCTTGGGTAACTGTTCTCTGTGTTGTAGGTTGTATAGCAACATCAACAACCACTACCCCCTAGGTGCTAATAGTGCACCTCTGCAGTTATGATAACCAAAAATATTACCAGACATTGCAAAATCACTCCTGGTTGAGAACCAATGACATATGTACATATGGACATACTTTTTATTCTAATATATATATGTATACATATATATCTTATATAGCATTAGTCAAACTTTTTACATCAAGCAAATTTTGGATTTCATCTTTAAGGGGATGGTAATTGAAGATATCATAAATGCACATGTGTGAGTTAAACTATGGTTTTAAAACTGAACTGCCCCTTGGGAGAACAAGTTTTCTCAGGAGTTTGGAATGATCCATTTTAACTAGCAATCTCAAAATAACATTTCTAACTCCTTTTTGATTGGAAGTTTTATTCTTTCATCATTCTTTCGGTGAACACTTATGAAGCATATATTATATACCTCCTACTATAAACAGCACTATAGACACTAGACAGTGGTGAACAAAACAACATAATTTCAACCCTTTTAGAATAAACAAAATCAGAAATATTCGTAAATATTTACCATTTGTCATTGAACTGAAAATGAGTGGTACTGATACATAAAATTAATTTACAAAAACTGTTTTTGAGTACTTACTGCATGCAGTTCCTATTTGTAGAGATTACAAAAGTTGTGTAAACATAATGTCTTCCCTCTTGAAAGATGTAATGTGGAAAGAAGCAAGTAGAGAATAATAAAGGGGAGGGAGAGATTAAGTGCTAAAATGAAGTTCTAGGGGCAGTGTGGCTTCTGGCTTACCATGTAATTTATCATTTCCCATACCTCCAGCATTTGTCAAATCCTTACAAAGTTAAAGGCTACCACCTTTGCCACAGCTTTTGGGTTTCAAACATAATTTTTAAAAGTCAGACTGTACCACCATATTGGTTGGAAATTTATCTATGGAGGTAGACAAGGATTAATGATTGTTTCTAAGAATTAGGGACATTTCTTACTCCTTTTGTTTTTTTCTCCCCACAAAAGCCTTTCTTAAACCCTGAACCCTCATGAAAACAAAACAAAACTACTGATATCAACAAATGAAAGAAATTAGACATCCCTACATATACTATAAGACAAGGAATGTTGCATGCTAATATTGCAGAACACTGCGTTTGGACAGCTATTCCTCAAGTTAAGCTACCTTCATGCCATTTATATTATGAGATCTCTGTTTCTATTAGATATTTATTCTACGAATATTAAAAACTGGCAAAAATCAGATAAATGAATAAAATAATGAAATAGTTACTTAAAACCACCTATTAAAAATTCATATATACTTTTGTGTGAATCACTGTGGGCAATAGTATAATACAGATCACAGACATTTTGACGTGAGGCATTTAGATAAGATGAGAAAAAAAGGGATGCTGTTTTTTCTTTATTTTCACTTATATCCAAATAATTTTATTTTTACTTCTCCATTTCTATGAGTTCAAATACAAGGCTAATAAGAGTCCAAATAAGAAGGATTCCCAATGTGTTATAACACAAGCCAAACTCATCAAACTGAAGCGTGTCAGGTCATCACACTTATTCAGTGATTATATGGTGTGATTATTCAGGTAATATTTCTAGGTCAGCCCATCAAAATGCAGGCTTAGCCCCTTTGAATGTTTTTAACAAGATGTATTGTGATTATCACATAAAAGACCATGTCCTGTAAAAAGACAATTCAAACAAATAATTGAGAAACAGCATAAATAAAATAAAGTCACTTGTTTGCGTGTAAGAACTGTAACACTGGCTTTATACAGTAGCAGTTTTTAGACAGAGCAAACTTCTTAAACTTGAGGGTATATCAGAGTCACCTGGAGAGCTTGCTAAAACACAGATTTCAAGGGCTGAATCCCAGAGAATCTAATTTTTGTCTACTGCTGCTACTGATCCACAAACCATAGTTGGGGTGGCACTGAGCTAGAATACTATCACAGGAATATTAATGCAGCTAATTCTTCTTATTGTGGTTCTTCATCTGGGATTAATGTAGGTGCTAAGCCAGTGACGTGTGCTCTAGATGGGAGAGAAACCACACGTGCTTTTTCCCTGATTTGCCAGTGGTTTTGTATTTCAGTTGGGAAATTAAAATATGGAACTTTCAAAGACTTCAAATTTCTTTCAAGCATTGGCAGAAGGTTAACAACACAGATGCTTTTCTGGCCTTGGGTCAGATATATTTACGCCGCACATGATGATCTTTGGAAACTTTACCCAAATTACTGTTGAAATTGTTTATTTCAGAACTAGGGCAACCAGATCCACCCTTTGTCTCTTGAGTGGGAGCAGTTTTGTTTTGCAAAGGCAGTGGCTAGAAAGGACCAGACGTTTCCATCAGCTGTTTGGTCATTGTGTTTTTTAGTGGAATTATAGCATTATACAATATTTTTCTTTGCAGCTTAAACATTGAGCAAACCCAGACATCCAGAGATAGCTAAAATGAAAAATCAGTTTATTCTTGCTTTGCCACTTGCCAAGTGAACTCTATCAGACACCACATCCTATGCATCTCAAGTAAACAAAGTTATGCTTAATGTGTTGGCAACATCTGTCACAAACACTCTTCAGCCTGTGGCTTAAATGTATTGAGTTGGAGTGGATTTGACAGTTCATTTAGTAAGTCAAAGTTAAGGTTGCGGGTACTGGCTTTGCCAAACTAACCATAAGGCTTTCCTTTTCTTCTTTTGTATTTATTTATTCATGTAATACACAATACAAAAGAGATTCTGTAGTTTTTACTAAGCAAAGTGGCTGACAAACACCCCCTTTGCTGTAGATAACCAACACTAAACCTCTTTAAGTTGTCTGTCTCAGATAAAGTATCATTAAGAAAATTCATTTCTCCCAGGAGTTCCTACTAGTTACTTCCAGTTTGCTCCCTGACTGTACATTTCTTCCATTCCCTTAAGATTAAAAAATTTGTATTCTTAATAATTTGTAGGATTTTTTTCACTGAATATTTTTATTGAATGTGAATAAGACTCTACATTCTTACATATCCTCCCCCAAGAATGCTTATTTTATTTTTTATGTATGTGCAGTAACTGATCTGCTTAGAAATAACTGTTCATTTATGTGCAGTAACTGGTCTCCTTACATTATTTTCCACTCTGTGCCTAATGTTGCTATTTACAATTCCAAATAATGATAAATCCCTTCTTACTCTTTCCTTTGATTGTCAGGTTTCTGGTTTATACACAGAAGCAGCACTCACTCTGTGACATCTGTAATCAAATGAGTCCCCAAACACTGCTTTCAAAGAAAAGATTCTCAAAGAGACCAGACAATTCTTCCAAAACTCATTCCAAGTGTAGGCATTCCATCCTTCTCATCATGCATGACTTTTGATTGTTCTGTCACATGCTCACCTACCTCATTTGCATATTGCCTTTAAAAACAAAACACACCCCTGGGGAATGAGACAACCTCCAGGGCATTGAGAAGAAAGTATCCTTACCAAACACAATTTGGTTTTTATCTCTGATTTACATGAATGATCCTTTTTGTGGCTAGAGCAAGCTGTTTAGAATTGAGGTGTTTCTGGGATTGTGACAGTTTCGCTGCATGTTGGAATGTCTAGGGGCAAATATTCTAAAATGATAACCTGTCTTGAGTTCAAGAAGAGAATTGAAGTCTCGCACCTGCTAAGCATTAGAATGTTGTCAAAGTGCCACTTTTTGGTTGAAAAGAAATGCTTCAGGACTTCCATCTTAACTCTGAGGTTATTCTATAATTTATCCCTAGGTGATTTAAGAAGAACCCTAGTTCTTCTTAAAGTGTTTACTTCTGGTCTGGCACAACAAATACCTGAAATGAAGGCCAGTAAGTATTTGTTTAAAAAAGGAAAACAATAAAGATGCTTTTGTTAAAAAGATTCAGGCAGCAGAAAGAAAAGTGCTGTGTCTCTGAATTATAATTAAGTAAAAGCTTATCTTATGTTTCTCATTTAAGAGGCATCCTGATGAATGACAATTCACAGAAGCATCGAGAAATTCAAACGACACAAATGCACAATTGTGTATATTTACAAGCTATAGACCTTTAAAATAACATACATGTTTTATGATTGATTCCTACTGAAAAGTCTAAATGTCTTTGTGAACAAAGCTGGCCCTGTGTATCAAGCATTTCCAAATATTTGGCTCAATTTCTATTATCTCTGAAAGTTAATGGGGAGGAGCCCATAGGGAAGGCAGAGCGATAGCCTGATCTTTTTTACAGATGTAGTCAGGAAGTTGAATTTTGATAATACCAGGAAGAATTGCTTAGTTTGAGCAAAAGCATTTTAGGAAGCACTTGCTGTGGGTAATTAGTTTGGGTGCCAAGATCTGGCCATCTCCATGCATCTGTCCGGTGAGAAAAATAATGTTTAGGGAAATAATTTATGCAGATATATAATCATTTTATCATAACTGGGTATTTAAATGGATTGTTATAAAACATGTTTCTACTTTTATCATAATCTTTAAATAAACATTGAAATTATATACTCTCAAAGATTCCATCCAATTCTAGATTTTTAAGTTTGCTTTTTAAAAATATTTTTTCATTCTCCAAGTTAATTACTACAAGGAAAGTACCAGAGTAGACAAAGAGAAAGGGAAGGATAAAATGACTTAGCTCCATTCTTCACTCACCATAGGACACTTTGCATATGGATGGAAGTTTTTTAAAATGTCTGTAATTTCTTTTATCCCCAACAATGATAATAAATCAAAAAACATATTATAGACATCCACTTTTCTTAACATCTGATTTAAAAGTTAACACTTTTTTTAAAAAAAATTGTGGATAGACATAAAAATTTGACCAGCTTTAACAGAGTTTGGCATTCTGTCTTGTGTCTAAAATATGGATAGATAGAAAACAGGTCAAAAGGTTAGGGGAAAAACAAATGGGAAATAGTAATTTTGATTTTTAGATTATCAATGATAGATTTTAATATGTCCTTCAAAGAGATCTAGTTCAGAAACCCATGTGGGTCAGCATTATCCCTCTTAGCAGTAGATTGCATTGGGGTGACTAAGAATTATCTATGTATTAATAAATAATAGATAAATGACATAAACCAAGTCTTATCAAATAACAAGAAAATTAGAGAATTTCCACTAATGTTCATATTTTTCAGTCAGAGAAGTTTATATTTAGAATAATGGGCGAGAGGGTATAGATGATTTCTTTCAATACATTCTACCTCAAAAAATGAAAATGTAAGTGACATATTTTAGGTACATCACAGGTAAATTACCTCAGAAGAAAGGAAGTTGTTAATGGCATCTATTCAGACAAGCACAAAATGACATGAATGGACATAAAAATTACATACAGTTGAATTTAGCCTTTTTAGTAAAAAAGTAAAAATATTTGATGTTCACACATTTACAGTTTACTGTGTTTATTTGTAAGAAGTCTCCTTCCTTGTAGGATATGTTTTCAAATGGACCTTGTATATGCTTGTAGGGTGCTGTGATTACACCAACCATGGACCATCCCATGTCAATGCAACCAACCAACATGATGGGCCCCCTGACACAGCAGATGAATCACCTTTCATTGGGCACAACAGGAACGGTGAGTTGAAGAGATTGTTTTGTTTCATTGAACTTTTTGGATCAGATGTGATATTCTCCATTTTTACTGGCATTATCAGTGAAACTGTGTCTGTACCATATTCACTGACTAACACACCTTTCAGGTTTCAGTATGAATAAGCTGCATTCTGCATGTATGTTCAATTCCCGGGCAGATATACTCACAGTGGCAAGACTAAAGTTCTATTGTGTCATTCAGTTACTTCTTGTTTTTTATGTTTCAATGTACCAGATATAATGTCTGTTTTTGGAAAGGTGTCCTTTTGCAAATCTAGACCCTGTGACTTAATATACTCAATCCTGGTTTTCTCTTACCAGCTGTTTACCAGCTCAGCCACGAGATTATTACCAGGTTATACACAAGTGAGGGGCCATACCTATGACTGATACTATTCAATCAATAAAGAGTAATTGAATAATTGAGCTATAATCGAGTTATTTTAATCCTTCTTTTTGATATGTTGATATAGATAATGTTGAAAACAAGGAAGGGAACCTAATGTGCTTGATTTTTTCTTATAGGTTATGATATTTTTGACTAGCCTTCTTTCTCCTCAGAACAAAAGTGTGCTGAAAAATGCCTATTGCAGCCTGGATTTTATATCAATGAGGCATTTTAAATCATGGGAAAAACTTTGTTTTTTTTTTTAAAGATAATTCCCCAAATGTTCAAGGAGGCAAAAGCCTAATACAATCTAGAATACTGAAACTTCATTAGTTGCCATTACAGAGAACAATGAAACCATGAAACCTAACCACTCATGTGACACCTTCAGTAACAGTTTTATTTTGGCAAATGTTAGTGCAGATAATCTTGTCATTTAATAAAACATAGAAATTAAAATACATTTTTTTGACTGAGGTAGCTTAAATATTGTAGAAAGAGCACTGGACTAGGAGTCAGAAATCCTAGATATAAAACTTGAGATATCCTAGATATAAAACTGTTGTTTCTGTCAATTTTGGGGAAAATAATATCTCTAGTCTGAACTTTTTTCTCTATCTAGTTGAAGTATTGAACTTGATCATATATGGGGCCCTTTGAATATCCAATTCTATATTTTTAAACCTATATGTCTTACAGTTACCACCTCTGTGATTCTTCAATTAGGCTGACTTCTTCTCCAAATATCTACGTACAATATGCACACTAGCTGTGTATCAGGAATTTTACCCCATAGCAATGGCTTGCTTGCCAAATAAATCCTGTTGACTCATGGACTTTTAAGAATATAAGAAGTTTCTGTCATGTCCACTGTCATGTCCACTGAGGCCTCACAAATCTGTCCTAAATAGGAAGAAAGTCAGTATAATTTAATGGAAAGAGCCACATTATTTCAATAAAGAAATTTTAGTTTTAGTAACATAAAGTTGCAGAACCTGTAAAAAGCAGTTGATGGTACCTTACCTGTCTGAATGCTTGGGCTGGATCAAATGATCTCTTAGGTTTCTGACCTACACTTTTAGAAGTCATGTCTAAGATATATTTCACTGTATGCTGTGGTACAGCTAATTTTCATCATGGAGATACAGTTTGAAGAAATACTATATTGCTTTTATCAAAGGATTATTTGTAATTATTTTGTGTGTTACTAATAAGCAGGTCCTAGGAATAGTATCAGAAGGCCTGCAGTTTTTTATTTTTATTAATACATTGTAGATTTCCTTCCATATCAGCCTTTGTGTCCTTCAGTGATCGTAAATTCTGAATGAGTGATGTAATGTAATTTTACTGTATTGACTAACAATCTGGAATCTGACTAAAGAGAGAATTATAATGCAAAACATAGAAACTCTTTATAATTTTTACTCATTTGGTTCAGAAGTAAAGCCAATTGACTTGCTAAAATTTAAGTTTGCAAACTAGTAGAAATATAAGAGCTAGTTAACTAAGTGTATGACTGAATCCTTTAGGGAATTAAAAAATAAGCTAAAAGACACAGAACAGACTCAGAATTATAATAGTTATTGAATCAATAACATATATTATGATTTTGTATTTGAGCATTTCAACAAGAACACATTTGTAAGGGACCACGACTTTTAGGCAGCTGGTAATAGCCAAATAATTCAATAATAATATATAACACTCTCTTTCTTAGAGAGTAAAAGTTTTAAGTATGTGGTTTATTATTCACATCAAATTTCCACTAGCTTTTTTTCTTTTCATCCTTTACATTCGCACTAAATGTTTAGATACATTATAATATTTGTGTTACTTGATGTTATGGAAAAGTGTAAAATTTAGTAAGGTTCTGAAGAGGTAGAGAGAAAACAGAATTACTTTGTTGATTCATTTAACAAAATATAATTAAGTGTCATTGGTGTCCAGAATACTGTTACTTTGTTTTCTTAGACTGTCACTCTAATTCTTTGATATGACTTCATAGATTCTTTTTATCTGAATTTTGATTGGCATTTGGAGTGACTATTATCCAGTTGAGGTTGATTTTGTAAAATCAGATTTTTCTACCTTATTGCATCTTTCCAACATTTTCATTGATGGGGAGGAATCCTGGCATAATGGAAAGATCAGTCAGCTTTGTTTTTAAACTTGAGTTCGAAACCTGGCTTTGCTCCCTTATTAGCTCTGCATGTTTAGGCGGGTTACTTAACCTCTCAGAACTTTTGCTTTCTCATTTTACAAAATGGGAAACATAATGCTTGCATCCCAGAGATGTTGTGAGTGTTAATGAAATGACAATATCCAGCATTCCTTATACAGTGTGATACCCAGTATGTGCTTCTCAAATGAGCTGCTCATACCCTTCACCTCCAGTGGCTTCTAACTGGTGGGAGTCTAGTTTAGGTAGCCAGAAGTGATGTAGCACACTGTAAAATCCATGGTATAACTCACTTACCGGCACTATTTCACTTGTTATAAATAATTTCTTTAACGTCTCCATTTCTTTGGCTGCTAACATAGTCTTTTAAGGTAGCAAACTCAAAAGCCAGTAGAGTCCAGCCAAGTCATATTAATGAATGAAGTGGATCAAGTTCAAGCAAAAACCCTTGGAAATACATAATCAATTTTTAAATATTTGCCTATATCATAAACATACTCATACCATATACACATATATGACATTGGAGATTATATTTTAGATAAGATGTATTTTCCGTACAATAATAATACTATCTGTGCCTGAGTTTTGGGCAAATAGAAGTGAGAGGTGGTGCCTTTGGCAGCCTGAAATAAGGATGCCTTGTCTGAAGAGGACAGCCACTACTCCATCAGTAGTACAGCTATTGTGATGGCTATTGCCACATGGACATACAGACCCAGGGTGGTCTCACTTTCCAGCTTTTAAAGATAAGCTGAATTCTTGAATTTTTATTTGAAATTCCTCTATATTTAAATATTGGGCCCAGTTTGTCCCAAGAACTCCCAGTTTGTGACTCCTGCCCAAGGTTTTTCTGGTTCTCCTCAAACCTCTCTGGCCACTCCTTCTTCTCTTCCTGCACAGATTGGTAAGCCAGAGCTTCGTTTGTAACATACTTATGCCACATGATTTTCGTAAGCAATCTGATTCACTCTCATGGTTGTAAGCCCTGGCTTCCATGTTGACTCCTAAATCTCAGTCCCCAATGCTAACCTCATCTAAGAATTTTAGACTCATTTATCCAACTACTTGCTAAGTATCTCCATGGAAATCTCCCTCAGACATCGCAAAGTCAGCATGACCCAAACTAATCTCATGAGCTTTCCAGAGCTTCCTTCCAACTGAAACCTCTTCTTCTTGTATGTTTCTGCTCCATTTCCCTGCAAACCAATGACATGACCATTTTCCCTGTAGCCAAACCATACACCTAAGACCCGAGCGAGAGCTTTTCCTTCTCCCTCACCACCATACACAATTACTTTTCAAGTCCCACTGGTTTTCTCTCATAGACATTGGTCAAATACATTCTTTCTTCCACATTTCTGGAGTCTCTGCCCTGGGACTCATTTGATTAATTGTAATAGTTTCCTAACTGTTCTTCAAGCTTTAAATTTCAGTTCGTTCCAATCCATTCTCTACCCTGTTGTCACAAGTAGTCAATCTAAAACTATCTGACTGTGTCTCTCTCCTAACTGAAACATTTCAGAGGATTTCAGACATCTGAGCTCACAGAAATTCTGCAAAACAAGGTGTGAACAGTGACAAGTCAAGATTAAGATAGGATTCCAAACTCTAGAAACAGATAGGTTCCAAGGGCAGAGCAGAGAGTGACCCAGTGAATAATCTAGAGTAGGAAACGATCAGGGCTGATGGAAGTTGTAGCTGTATTAGAATTTTCCATTTTTAGAAGGGGGATCTTGAACACAGGCTTAGTCCCACTCTTCCTTTTAAAGTCCCTGGCTAAAGGAATTGTATTGGGCCAAAACCTCTTTTTCCTTTTCATAAAAGACGATATCATTGTCTCCCATGACCTCAAATTTTGAAATGAATGCCATGTAGTTTAATTAACCTTTCTCTACAATTTGCCACCTCAAATGTTTATTGTTCAATTCTCTATTTTAAGCTAGACAGAATCTGCAGGCCTCAAAAAATAATGCATTTTATGCAAGCAGTGTAACTGTTTTATTTCAGGGCTCTGCTGACCCTGAAGGATTTTCATAGCTTTTCTACTTTTGTTTATATTTTTGTCACAGTATTCCCTCGATGGAACCAAAGCCCCATTATCCATAACGTCTTATCACTTTATTATAAGCTTTAGCAGAAACCACTGGAGATTTTACTGTGTTATGAGAACCTCCAAATTGCATGACAATCTTGTTTTACAAGTGTCTTATCTCCTTTTCATTTGTTCAGTTGCTGGTCACCAGCGGCTTACAATGTCACCAGAATCTGTTGGAGGAAATAAAAAGTTTTTGTTCTGCAGGTTTTGTATCTGCAGTTTGGTTTGTGTTCTCCAAGTCACTGATGATTTGTGATATCATTGATTTCCACAGTGTAACCATAGTCACTCACAAAAATAACCTTGTAATTGTACTCCATCTGTCCCCACAGTTCTCTAGCATTTTTCAGTCACACCACTCCTTTACTGCTCTGAAATTTTGTTGGTATCAGGTGAAAATCCTCAATTATTCAGTTTGTTTAGATATTGTTCTTTTTTCTGTTATTAGGTATGAATATAAATATTAAGACAAATTTTTTAAATGCTAACAGGATGTTAAATGGACTCTGATTCAGGAAACTGTATCATAAATGGTAATGAGTACATCTCCTAAAATAGTTTTTCAAGAAAAAATATTAATTAATTTAAAACACTCAAATACAAAACAGAAAATATGTCTAAAAAGGTAATAGTTTTAAAAAATTGGTTTAGCCTTACTGTAAAATGAAAGACTTTTGAAGGGAGTCTTAGAAACAATAAATGAACTGGCATTAAATGTAAGTCTAGTGGTATGAGTGTGTATTTGTAAATATTGCACTTTTGTTGTTTAAAAAAATGAATTCGGAATTCAAATAAGTTACCGCCATAGTAAAAAAGCCTCAATAGATAAAATGCCAAAGAACATGAACAGATAGTTGATAAAAGAGTAAATAGAATGCCAAGGAACATGTACAAAAATTATAATCAAAGAAACAAACAGTAATCAAATATACATGTACATATATCCCATCAAATAAAGCTATCAAAATGCAGTACAAATTGCTAATGAAGGTGTAGGAAAATAAGTGTTCTCTAGCATTGATTACTTGATGATAGGAATCTCAGTTTGTGTAAGTACCAGTTAGATAGCAAGGTAGTCAATTGAGGTACTTCAAAACATTTATACTGACTAAAAAGAAGTTACAGTTTTGAGAAGCTCGTCTATGGAAATATTCTAAAATATCAGAAAAGTAATTATACCTCAAAAATATTTGACACAGTGCTCTTTATAATGTCTAACAAAGAAGAATAATTAAATATGTCATAATCCATCCATAAACCAGAACGTAATGCAGCATGAAATCATAAGAGTGTTAAATAATTAGGAAAAAGTTGATTTATAATGTTAAATTTTAAAAAATTGGAAGTAAGGCAGGCTGTGGTGGTTCATGCCTATTATCACAGCACTTTGGGAAGCTGAGGCAGGAGGATTGCTTGAGGTCAGGAGTTGGAGACCATCCTAGATAACGTAGCAAGACCCCATCACAATAAAAAAAAAAATTGAAAATTAGCTAGGCATTACATTATTGTGTGCCCTATAATGTAACTACTGAGGAGGCGGAAGCAGGAAGATAAATAAAGCCCAGGAGTTTGAGGTTACAGTAAGCTATGATTGTGCCACTGCATTTCAGCCTGAATGACAGAGTGAAACCCTGTCAAAAGAAAGAGAGAGAGAGAGAGCGGGGCGGGGGGGGGGGGGGGTAAATTTGCATGTGCGGAGTTCAATATCAACTATAAAGAAATATTATCAGGCCACAGAGAAATATAAAACAAGTGTGGCTATTTCCAAGTGATAGGATTAGGAGTAACGTCTATTTTAATCATTTTGCTTTTCTACATTATCCAGCTATTCAGCAATAAACATTATTGGCTTTTATTATTTATTTTAAAATGTTATAAATATATTCTTGGAAAATGACTAGTAGCATGGTCCAATAATTAACTTTTTTTTTTTTTTTTTTTTTTTGGTTTGGAGTGGTAATGTGTGATTGCAATTTTTCAAAAGGTACTAGGAATTACTACTATTATTTAAAATTTTGGAAAAACTTTAAAAATTATTCTAATTATTCTAGATTTGGGGATTATAATCAACTCAGTAGTTCAGGTACCTGTTGCAAGAAACAAAATAACTCATGTGTCTGGTTTATTTGCATTTGAATCTTTTGATCATGTTTGCTTTTGTTGCTCAAAGTGCCTTGCAATGTTCAAGTTCTAATCTGTCTTCTCACATGCCATTTACTCAGGAGAGAGTGATTAACCTTTTGTGGCAAGGAGATGAAAGTGAGAAATACGTGATAATCCAAAAGTTGTCACATGGGTTGAAAAAGAAAATTTGGGATTTTTGCTTTTAATAAAGGTCATATAAATGGAATAAGAGTCACACAAGAGCATCTCTTTAACCATGTGTTGGCAGTTGATTTGAATCTAAACAATATCAAGTTTCTTTTAGAGTTTACCCCTCCAAGGGGAGTGGGGGCAAAATTAGAATTTTCCATTTTTAGAAGGGGACCCTAGGCCTATGCCATATGGCAATCTCCTTTTTAAGATCCCTGGCTAAAGAAATTCCAGTGAGTCAAAAGCTCTTTTTTCATCTTTAAAAAAGCGGATATATTTTGTCCCATGTAACCCCTAATTTTGAAATGATTGCCATGTAGTTTAATTAAGCTTTATCTAGAATTTGACACCTTCAGTGCTAGGAGACTTGGGATAAAGATAACCATCATGTTCAATGGATTCTGTTCTGTGTATCTCTGCTCCCACAGTTACAACACATAAAGCTTTTTGGCCCTGAGGCGAAAGCACCCTCTGCTCTGCCTCACTGACAACCACTGGGATCAGAGCTGGAGCTGAGTGATACATAATGAAATTTGCCTTCAAAATGTGGTAGCCTCCATAGAATATAAGAATGTACAAATTTTTTATTTTTCTCTTTTAAATTTTAGTTCTTTCTTTTGTTCTCCAGGACTTTGTTTGATATCATGCTCTGGGCCCCCTCTAGATGGGCTGCCTTGTAGAACTCTTTTGTCAGCCAGAGAGGGTAAAATGTTTATATTGATTCCCTAAGGGAGGTACCAAACAGGCTGTGGAAGATGCCAATGTTTCAGTACAAACTGTACTGTCCCAGCAAGTCTAACAGGACCTAATCACATGTACAGTATTGTGGTAATAGGGACCATGGTATCAAATGCAAATGAGGAATCATAATGCCTTTACTGCTCTAAGGCAGGGGGGTCAGGCAACCATATGACACACAGCGGACTCTTCCACGCGTTAGGGCTGATTCTATTTTATTTTCTTTTGTACTTCATTGCATTCTTTCTCATGCTCTTTTCATTCAAAGATTCAATCCCAAGACAGGATTATGATACTCCACCAGCTGTTGTGTCAGGTAGGAAAATTCTCATTCTTTTAAGACTGGATTGGAGGGGAGAGATGGAGGTTGCCTGGTTTTTTCCCAAATTCTTTAAAGCAGTGATTCTCAACAGAGGTGGGTGCAGGAAATTTGAATTCCAGTTTGGAAGGGGGCCTATGTAGTTCAGAAACATAAACTTAATATTGTAATTCTGTTATAAGTCTCGAAAATAAATGTGTTGCATTTTAAATAGAAAGTAAAAACACAAAGCCATTTTGTCTGTCAAGGATACACAGAAGATAGAGTCTGTGTTCTGTGTATCAGTGATTCTCAGTGTTAGACACGGTCATCAAATTCCTGAAAAGTGGGAAAATAATTTTATGTATAGCAAAAGAGGGCACAGGTTAATAAAAAAAAAAATAGTTTGAGAAGCACTGCTTTAGAGACCAGAATTCTTCTAGATTGGAAAATCATCCCATTTGCTTGCTCAGCACCCTGCATAGGGTCTGACACATAGTATGTGCTCAATATAATTGTTTGTTGAATGAATCAAAACTTCAGATTTGTTCCCAAAATGATTCTTTCGGATATTGAAAGAAAAGCTGCCATTATTCCATTTATACAACAAAGTGGCAGAGGTTGATTGGAAAATATGTTAGTGTCTTGAGGGTTTTAATTAGCAGTATTTAAGTTGTTTCATGAAATTTAGTAGTGCAGTATGTCATAGGATATGTCTATGTAAAGAGGTGGATTTTTATTTTGAACTGCACAGATCCTCTTGTGCTTTCATTTTAATTTTGAATTTTGACTTCTTGCAAAGAGAAAAATGGGCACAATTTTTTATTTCAGTTAATTTTTAATTAAATACTGGCAATCTGAAGAGCATGAATTCTTTGATTCTTTGATTCTTTGACATGTCAGACAGCAAGGTCATAAAATACAAAGACAAAAATGCATTGGGAAGACAGAAGAAGAATCAAAGGTCAGAAATAGACTGAAAGACCCCATGGAGCAGTTGAATCTGGCAACCTGATGGTGGTTTTCAAGCAGGGGAAATCTTGCTTTTAGCCACCTGTTTGCTTCACCCAGCATCTGAAGGGTAATTCTTTTTTAATTTTTATAGCCTTATTTAGTTATGTTCCTGGCTGAATACTCATCTTTAAACTTCAATTAATAATGTCCCATTGAGGAAAAATAATGGCTTTTGGTCCTCTTCAAGGTCTCTACAGTAGATTGCCACTAATGAAAATATCACTTAGTTTTTCCCAAAGTGTATTTCCTGTCATATCTTAACATGCCAATTTCATTTAGGGTTTAGGGCCCCTGGGAAGAGACAGTATTTCATACATGGTACTTTTGATTAACAAGATACATCTACTCTTGATAATTTACCAATATTCATAAAAATAAAAGACACAAACTGGAACTTACCTTCAACTAGGTTTCCTGATTTTACTTTCAAGAACATAATGGAGAAAGCAAGCAAATCATTAAAAGTACTTATCAGATGTCAGTCATAGGTCCGGCTCTACGTAAGTCGATTGAGGCAGAAGATCTGGCTGAAAATCTAGGCTCAGGAGTTCTCACCTGATTGCATACACAAGGCCACTGAAAGTTCTAGAGCAGATGAGCGACTTGATAAAAGCAATGCTTTAAGAAACTTAATCTGAAAATTTTGTGTGGTCTGGAGCAGGAAGACATAAAAATCACATGGAACAGTTAAAAAGATTAGATATGATATATTGTATTTATAATAAAAAATCATCCTAGGTTCCCAGCAGTGGAGTAAAAAGGAAGGGACCCAATATAGAGTTAATATGAAATTTGCGAGATTTCACAGTTATTTTCCCCTTGTAAGATTTAATTGATAGTTTGAAATAAGTTTCACAGACTTCTTTGATCTACATCTAAATAGAAATAGACTTGCCTTTCCAAAATGCTTGTTAATTGGCTGGTAGGACAACTTCAATGACTTTTCAGAAATTGAATATGTTTTTCTTACCCCTTGGCCACATCAGGAAAGTGAAACAGGAAATAGCATTGTAATATCTCCTTCTAAAATCTTCCAATATGTCAATATTGGACAGAACAAATAATCATTTGCCAGTGTAGAATCCAACTAAATTGCTTTAATTTATTGAAGCTGAGGTATCTGCTTGATAATTTACAGATACATAACTTAATTTCATTCAATCAATATTTCAACATTTATTGAACAACTTCTGAGTGCTAGACACTACACAAAAGTACTGGGGACACAAAGATGAACAGAAAATAGACCCCTGAGTAAAATATATATTTTTGTCCGGGTGCGGTGGGTCATGCCTGTAATCCCGGCACTTTGGGAGGCCGAGGCGGGCGGATCACGAGGTCAGGAGATAGAGACCATCCCAGCTAACACGGTGAAACCCCGTCTCTATTAAAAATACAAAAAACTAGCCGGGCAAGGTGGCGGGTGCCTGTAGTCCCAGCTACTCGGGAGGCTGAGGAAGGAAAATGGCGTGAACCCGGGAAGCGGAGCTTGCAGTGAGCCGAGATGGCACCACTGCACTCCAGCCTGGGCGACAGAGCAAGACTCCGTCTCAAAGAAAAAAAAAAAAAATATATATATATATATATATAATTAAAAATATATATAAAAATAAATAATTATACCACTTACTATGGTATAATGGACTGTTACAACATTAATAACAACATTTATTTGTGTTGTTATTTGTGATGTTGAATGCATAAAGTACAGAGAATCAAGAATCTAGAAAGAATATTTGAAATCCTCAGGAAGACAAAATACTATTTGGTTTTCTGTGTAGTATTAAGTGATGTCAACTTCTGAGAGTGAGTGAGAGATGGCACATAGTAAGGATTTAAGAAGAACAGAGATTTGGAAAACTATGGCATGAGAAGGCCAACTAACAATCCATAGAATTTTGAGGGGTAGCAGTGGGGGTTCATTTGAAGCTATGGACTATGTATTTGTGTGATTAATCTGTGAGGATATTTGATTTTCTGTGGTCGTAATCAGTAGCCAAGAAGGCAGACAGGTGAATTAATGCAGGGTTAGTATTTACTAGGTGAAGTGAGGAAAAGGAGAGTGTGCAATTATGACATTGGCAAGAAAGTAGTTGAGTGGCAAACTGGATTTAAGGAAAAATAAAGAAGGAAGAAAAAAGAAGGCAGTGGTGGATGAGAGATAGAAAACAAAATATAGAGATAAGCAGTTTTAATGAGATGTACAATGTAGTTAGTAAAATAGTTGGATTTAAGATTTTGGATAGTGAACTATTTCTTGACAAAGTTTGAATCATGGGAGCAGGTGACCACGGTGAATTTGAGGTGAAAGTGACAGAAGTTAAGGGAGTTAATTAATGTGAACATAAAAAGTGACGAATGAAGTGAGGGTATTTTTGCATATTTTAATTTTGTTTTGTTTGTTCTTTGCCATTAATACATTATACAAGGCTCAAGAATATTTTACTTAGGAAGAATCTGAGGTAAATATTTAAGCTTCAACAATGAATATGCCTTAAAAGTAATAATAATCTGGGAAGAAAGAGTTAAAGCAAAAGTGGTGATGTTCAAAAGAAAGAAGGAAGCTTGGGCAACAGAAGCACCTCTGATTTATTTCCCTGGAGTCACCTCTTCTTGCCTACATCTCTGCGAGGCCTTACCTAGCTCATTTCAAGGAGAGAAGACAGAAGGCTGAAACTGCCCTCTACATTTTCACACCAAATCAGGAATCTATTCTCTTTTTAGTATTTCTTTTCCGTAACAACTATAACTCCTTTAAAACTCCTTCTCTCTTAAGCAAATGTTAGTGAAAAAATATGTAAAGGCATAGTAAAATACCATTTTCTATACATGGTTGGGTTTTATGAAACACTTATGAAAACTGAAGATAATTTGTAGTCAAATTTTTATTCCAGTTGTTTTGAGCTTAATTTCCTTGAATGACATCAGCATGAAATCAAGCAAAAGACTACTATCACCAGAGAACTAAAGGAGAATCAAAATCTATCCTCTTTTTCTAAAGAGCTTTGAGTTCAGAATTTGAACCTAGGTTTGAAAAACAAGAGAATAAAAAAGAAGAGAAAAACGGGGCCTGAAAAATACACTGAAAAGAACCTGTAGAACTTGTGGAGCATTTTCATTCTTTGCTCTAACCTTTTATGCACCAGCTGAAATAGGCTGAAATAGTGTTATCAGTACAACTTCATGATGAGATTTCACAGAAAAAGTTTGCATAAATCACAATATACTGGTCCAATAAGAAGTTTTTAAATCTCTGATTTCTAACCATGGAGCTGTGCTCTACGAATAAAGTGCTTCACTGGAGTACTTGATGCAATTAAGACAAAATTCACTGTTATGAACAGCATGCAGTTTCTCACGTTGTTTTTGTTTCAGCAATCTAAGTTTGCATTGGAAAGCCTCATTCATTTGGAATTTGTGATGTCCAAGCAAAGATTTAATTGAAGCCTATTTTTTTATGATGCATCTTCGGTGAGAATTATTGTGTTAAACTATCCTCTATTATCCAGAGGAGGGAGAGGCACAGTATTTTAGCTGCTTCAAAGAACAAGAACAAGACCATCTTTCAAACTCTAAGCGACATTGGTTTTCATAGATTCCATGAGCTAATTACAAATAATTTCCATCTTTTAATTAAAAATTAAGTCCATTAGTACCTCCAATTAGGAACAATTAGCCATTAAATTGTATTTATTGTAAAGGACCTGACACATTGTTATGTTTCCCACAAGCCACACATGAAAATCAATTTCTTTTTTTTTTTTTTTTTGCTCAAATACTGTGCATTTATATTGACTACAAAACTACCTTTCTTTAAATGAATTGATTTTTTTCTTTGTAATAAGTTCTTAGATTCTTTGCTCCACTTATTCTTCATTTATTCAACTAATATTTACAGAGCACCTACAGTGCTACAAAAAACTAAGGGTAGATCCATTTCTTGCCCCGAAAGAACAAAGATTCTAACATAGTCAAAGGATATACAGAACTGTCACATAACATAG